TAGGAACAATCAATGAACTCAATCAATCAATCAAATCGTGTAGAATTCCCTAAACCGGATGTGACTCAATAATTGTAACAAAGGACTTAAAGAAAACTTTTAAGACTTGACTTAAATAGAAGGAATGGAATGATTCAATGTGTCCAAGTAATTTAGAAACGATATTGAATAATAAAAGTTGATATTTGACGGATCAATAATATTTAACAATTTTTTACTGTATGGATGAACAGTACCGTACGGATGAACAGTAAAAAAAATTTTCAGATCCGAAAATCAATAACATGACCAACAAAGAAAACGAAAACTAATTTGGACGAAAATTGAACCCAAAAACGGAATTTGAAGATTTTTTATTAAACTTTTGGATCAAAAGATCAAGAAAACCTTCTGGACACAAGAACACAAGGAATTGAAAAAAATTAGAAAACAAAGGATATAACCTGACTAAATTGGAGCCAAAGCTCTGATACCAACTGATGCGAAGCCCGTAACAATGGAAACTACAAAACCCACAACGAGATTGATGTGGAACCCAAGAACGCCAATACTAACCCGATTTTGGATCTTGAACCCCAAGAATTAAACCAAGAAACCCTAGATTAGCGAAGAACCTAAAACCTCTTGATTACAATTAAAAGAACCCGCAATCCGATTGTTTAGAACGCCACAAGAAATTGAATCTTGATAAGTTCCAAGATTATTCAAGAAGAACTAGAAATTGAAAGAACAAATTCTCTATCTATAATATTATTCAAGCAAAAGTCAAAAGTCTTTACAATGAAAAGTATTCTCCTATTTATACTAATGAGTAAAAACGTCCAAAATCCATCAAATTATGGTAATAATTTGATTTCATAAGAATTCTATCGAAACTAGAAAATTCGGCCAAAATTAGAAAATTCGCCAATTTTTTGGCTTGTGCGGCCGCATGGTGTATTTCCATGCGGTCGCATGGTTCAATAAGAAATGCAATATTTATTTTCGGTATGCCACCATGCGGCCGCATGGTGTTTTGCCTATGCGACCGCACAGGCTTGTTTTCAACCTCCAGTTTCGTCGCTTGATAACAAATTGATCGAAGTTGATTCGGCCTTCGACCCGAACATGAAAGTTGCTCCATTTTGAGTCCCGAACATGGTTCCATCAATGGTTTCTTGAACGAGTAATCCCATCACTTATTTTACTTACTTTGCCCTTGATCACGTCATTGATCCGCCATCGACTATCAACGGATTTCGTCTCGCACTTGCCTTCGTCGGGCTCGACTCCTGGATCACATCGCTTTGTTCATTGTGAAACATGTTTCTATAATATCGTAGATATGTGGTTATCCCAAAATTAAATCCACATCACAATTGAAGTAGCCCAATATGTTGGATATTTAGAGGTAATCAGCCCATTGAGCTATATGTTCAATACCCAACTTGAAGGTAATTTGAAAATCACAAGAAAGATAGATAAACATAAGGGAACAATACATAACTCAGGCTTTTAAAGTACCCTATTTCATTTTTAAGAATCAAGGTTTAAATATACACAAATCAGGTCATAAATCATATTATATATATATATATATGTAGTATGATTACAAACGGATCCTTAAAATAAGTAATCTGTTACAATTTCTGCTGAAATCTCGATTACAAATCAATGCCACATCCCAGAAAAAAGAAGCTCAAGCAATCTTAGGAAGAAAATCATCTCACATTATCGGAATCTTATTCGATAGCAATCGAAATTAATTGATCCGTAATCAAGCAATCATCGTTCTTTCGTAATCTAGATTACAATCAGGTATGTGATTCCAATTTTGAAATCTTATGACAACGTCTGTATTCATCGTGTGGGTTCGAATTCAACCAATTCATGTTAGGGCATTACGATTTACAGACAGTTGCCTATATGACTCAGCTGCGTTATGATTGTGGACGTCAAATCATTACATTATGGATAGTTACATATGTGACCAGTCTCAATATGTAGCATGAATTTCAATGTGTGACCGTTATAGGTGATTGGGATTGACTACATGTGGTAGAGTTCTACGTATGATACAGAAGTTTTTGTATGTGACCTTGAGTTGTATATGAAATCATACTTTCTGTCAGTGCCAAGAACTATATAAATGTGACCATAACAGATACCTTAAACTGATATGGGACTGATTTTCTCATCTAAATCCAATGATTTTCCTTTTGAATTTTGCAAAAATGGGATATGTGTACATTTGCTTATTGTACGGGTCACAATCAGCACTGGTGACGGTTGATCATAATTGTTGTTATATAAAGCTTGTGAAAACAGCAGTGGCAGAGTTCAGTCTAGATCCTACTAAGGTAGCTGTCACAATGACTTACACACTGAATGTTGATCTGCCTCCAGTAAGAATAAGTNTTTCTTTGATCTCTATAAATCCTTCATTAATCGGTTGTTTGATTCAATTTGTAGGTAGGTTTGCTTCACATTAGGTCTCTTACATTGATTGATATTAGAATTATGTTGGCTCTGTGTAGAGTTATCGAAATCCATTGAAGGCATTGGAACAAAGATTTGGGTGTCATGGTGGTGACGGCGGTGGTCGGTGATAACGAGTTAAGCTGCCGTTGTGTTCGGATATAGCAATGCTCAAGGACTGTTGTCTTTACATTCGGTTTTAGTTTTGAATTCATTTTGAGTGTCGATTTTGAAATCGTTAAAGATGTATTCTTTTTGTCATTTTGAAATTCAAGAAATCTATGACTTAACCAACTAAGACATCCCACTATTTACAAAATAAGTCATTTTCCGCATTTTTGAATTTTTGTCTTGCTTTAACTGAAAATGGCCAAAACGACTTTTTTGGCATTTTTCGTTTTCTTTGTAAATTTTAAACTTGTTTTTTAAAATTCATTTTTGAAAATAGGTAAATAAACTTGTTTTCAATATTTTCGAAAATTAAAAACTGAAAATGACTTGAAAAATGCAAAGAGAACAAGCCCTTAGTTTTTTCTATCATGTTTCATTGGATTTATATTTCAAATGGAAATTTTTTTGAAGTAAGATCAAAATTAAGAAAACAAGTTTCAAACTTCAGAAATCAAATTTTTATTAAAATTTATTAATGATTTAATTAATTAATTTATTTATTTATTTATTTATTTATTAAATAAATTTATGTTACATATCTATATAATTTGATCACAAATTAACAATTTAATTAGTCACTTATTATTTTTTGGTCAGAAATCAGAAATTTTATGTCACAAATTATTTTATGATCACAATTCAAAAAATTTGTAGGTCACAATTTGTTCATCGGTCATAAATTAAAAAATTAATTAGTCACGAATTGGTCACAACTTAAATAAAAAATTTGATAGGTCACATATTATTTTTCAGTCATGAATTCATAGATTATTCATTGGTTACAAAATCAAAACTTTTATTGGTCACAACCCATTTATTCATTGCAAATTATTAGATTGATTGGTCACGATTAATTTTTCAATCACAATTGTGAGTTACAGTCACAATTTTTAGGTCATGTATTACAAATTAACCAATTATTAGTCACAATCAATCAAATAATTGTTCACAAGCATTCAACCACATCTCATCCCACTCACAACCATTGCCACCACCACCACCACCACATTCATTATCACTATTACCACCCCACTACCTCCAAAATATGGAAGCTGTCGCCGCCACCACTTCAACAACCAAAATCAATCCCTCACCACCATTAACCACTTGTACCACGAATGCACCACTGCCACAACCACCTCCACTGTACCACTATCAATGTAGCAGGAGTTTTGAAAAAATATATATATACCACCATCACCACCACTGCACCGCACCATACACCACCACCACAACCACCGCCATCGCCACCACCACCAACCGAAAAAACCACATATCCATAATCAAAACTAAAACAACCAATAGTAAACCACAAAAGGAACCAAATCAGTGTAAACTATAGATCCAAAACCACCATCGCCTCAGCCCATCATTAACCAATAATCACCGACAGAAAATGCACCTAAACCCTAAGCAGCTATGTGTCGTTGGCAGCCCAATCACCCAAAAAATCGTGTCTCGGTAGTCCCGTTCGTCGCAGTTGTTTGTTGTCGTAGTTGTGTACCGTCGCAACGATACAAAGAGTGGTTGCAACTGTTTTGTCGTCAGTGATGTGCCATTGGAAGGCTGCTGAGAGTGGAGAGGCGGCGACTGAGAGTGGAGAGGGAGACAGGTAAGAAGAGAGAACCACCACCACCACGCCCACGTCATCGCCACCGCCAACACTTCCAACCACCATCATCGCAGCTATTTGTCATCGGTGATGTGCCGTCGAAAGGTTGCTGAGAATAGAGAGGTGGCGAATGAGAGTGAAGGAAGAGACGGGTGAGAAGAGGGGAGAAAAGAGGAACGAGATATAAATTAATTAGGTTTGTGATAAAATTTGTATTATCATATTTAATATTTAAATAAAAAACATCTGATTTTTGAAATGTCAAACTTCCAACCTAATTTAAGAATGTTGAATATTTAAAGTATGGTTTGGTATAATTTTAACTAATTGTACCATTTTTCGGATACGTGGCTGGGGCACCAGGCTGTTATGCAACATTTATAATGGCCCATTTGACATGACCCAATTTTAAAAAGTTGAAGGTACTTCTAAATCTAAAAATTTGCCTTTATACATATTTAAATAATTTTTTAAAAGAACTTTATCCAACCAAATTTTTTTATTTTTATAAAATGCTCTTCTATAAGAAATAGAACCACATCATACCAAACAGGCTCACATCCCCTTCTATTGAATTTTTTTAAACTTCTATTTTTCCTTCTACACGTGAATGACACTTGAAGACAATACACTAGTAGGCTTTATAACAATTGAAGTTTTTAGAGTAAGTAGTTCAACAACAAGGTTTTTTCATTTATTTGAGACAATGAATTTTTTTTTAATTAAAACAATTTATAATTTATCATAATTTATCAAAACCTAGATAATCAATCATTGTATTGCAAACGATGAAGTACCATATACACTCCTTAGTACAAACTAAAATAATAATAACGCACAAAAAATTTGAAGGAGCATGATGTATCCAGGCTCCAATTTCTGGTCATGATGTAGTACCATGGACCGACTGAAGCAACATGAAAGTACAAAATGTGTTAAATTTCATTAGGCATTCATCGGCAAGATTAGAGAGATAATGTTCTTGAGTAAAGAGCTTCTAAATGAAGGCATGATGTCCTTCTGGAGACATTTCCATAGCTAGTCGACTTCTGTCTGTCTCAGCACAAGCTTATGAAACTTCAAAAAGTGTGCTCGTAAAACTCCAGAACGACACATACAGTTTCATAGCCACGTGGCAATGTTTCTAGTTTGACGGCCTGTATATCACTGCACTTCCTGCTGATGCTTGGTTTGCTGAACGATTACTTCCAAAGTTTTGTCGATTTGATTCCCTTGCAATCCTAGAACCAAACTGAAAGACGAATAGGGAAAAATGTAAGATGATCATCAGCACAAGCCACTTCTGTAAGAAGGTGTTGCCTGTAACATACACAGGTTTTGTGCTAGGATGGAATAAAATGACTGAAGGATCACTGAAGCAGCCACTAGACAAACTATTGTGAACAGAAATACAGACCTGTATTGCCCTTTTGGGCAGAATAGCTGCTTCGTTCAGTCCAAGCAGTCGGGCAACCTGCAAATATAGTCACATAAATTAATAATTATAGACAAATATGCTGAAATAAAGAAAATAAAATAACAGAGGTATTTTTCTTTATATTATCAAATAAAAAAAAAAACTCCAAAACAAAAGCATATTTTTTTACTTTTCAACTCAATATATTCATCAAAATATGTACGACACCATTTCACATACTGGAGAGAAAATTCTACCCTCTGTTGACAAAAGATGTAGGTTTGTTTATATCACTTCTCAATTACTACAAGTCTTCTAAATCCTTCAGTAATTTAATTTTTCTTCACGTGCGAAGTTACTTAAAACGTCTTTACGTATTCTAATGTTATTTAATTAACTTTATGAATAACACATCCCCATACCATATCTAAAGTCAGTGGTCAAGCCCTTGGAATTTGACAGTAAACCATGCACATAGTAAACGTCTGTATCTGAACCCAATCTAAATAGCTCTTCACAATAGCATCAAATGATACATGGTGGTGTGCATTGTAAAGATCCAAATAATACCTCCACATCAAGATGAATTTGATGCTCATGTTCTTTGGGGAAAAAAAAAAAAAAAAGAAAGAGTAGGTAGAGAGAGAGAGAGAGAGAGAGAGAGACTTGATTTATGATATTATTGTCTCAAAGAAGAGCATCTGCATTTTTTTCCTTCCGAATGAGATTGGTAGTTATATATTTGCAACCCGACACTTCAAATGGACTTTTAAAGTAAAAAACTGGGTCAAGAAGAGACCAATATTCACTAGAAGAACCTGTTTTGCACTCATTCCAGATTTAATAATAAACAACAAAAACTCAGCGTTCTTGCAGCTAATTTTCACCAAGAAGGACATTGATACAATGTCTTCAAGGATAAAAATAATTTAAACTCGTGAAATTTAATTCCACAAGAGTCAAGATACTCCACTTTATGTTACAAGTCTTTTCCTCAACGTCATTAACATAAAGATCTCTTATAAGATAAAGTTTAACAGAACAAATGAGAGAAAAGAAATAGGCTCACCTCTCTCAAAATTTTCTTATCACCTGTTCCACTTGGTTGATTAAGGTCAGCAATCTCCCACAGAGGAATATCAAGCAAAATCCTTATGACATCTTCATCCAGAAATGGAAACCTCGCCTTATGAAGACAAATAATAAAACCATTAATAATAGTTTGAATATCTAGAAATCTTATTGTAATGCAAAAGTCATAATTCTTATTCAATTTGAGTTTCTGCAAACCTCCTTGGCGTTATCAGCAATGCATCTATCATCTCTCCCTAAGTTTCTCTTCCAGATTCTTTGCATGTCTAACTTCATTTCCTCATGCAGCCCAAGCCAACTGGTGATGAGCATATTGAAGCACCATTTCACAAGAAAAAGAGAGTTAGAATCAAATTTGGGGAAATCTCATGTTTGTGTCTACTGGGAAAATGTTCTAAGTCCACTTCCACGTTTTAAGAGCTCCAGATTGAACAAAAAGGTACAGCTTATGTAAGTATTGTGGACATTATATTAAATGCATATGAAAGAATCACCTTCCATTCCTATATTTTGTCCTATGCCGACCATATCCAGCACATTGTTCGTCAGCACCAGAACCAACTAGGAGAATCCTGGCCTCAGACTTGTACTTGACACGTTGGCACAGTCCACCCTCAGCACTGCTCATTACTTCAGAAAGCCATCCATCTCCCCCAGCTGCCAACCATAATGCTAAGCCAATGTTCAGGTCCTGAAACAACAAGGTGAACTTCGGTGACCTTGATGACAAATATTTTACAATTAACTTTTGTTCCCTCCTGCCCATAAAATTTTCCATAATTAACCCTTCTGGATGTCCCAAAAGAATGCAACTACTTCCGCATTCTACTGACACAAAAGTCAGATTCAAAATAAAAGTATCAACTTACCACAACTGAAATTTTGAATTCAAAATAGTAAAATAGGTAAAACATAATCCTTACTTAATGCCATAACACTATGCGTAAGTATTTGGTTTTTTCAAAATAGACTAAATCTTAACCCAGTTTTCAATCTCATTAATGGCTCTTCTTCCTGAGTATACGAAATAAAGTAAGTCACTTTTAAAATAGAAAACAAGAGACGAAGTACTGTTCCAGATATGCAAGCTGCTAAGCATTCATAATGCTTAAAATGAGCACACTGGCCACATCTCAGAGCACAGAAAGTAATGCTTAAACATATTTTTCAGGTAAGAACTGTACCATGTAGGTTTTTGCTGGAGTTATAAGTGACATGACACGCTTGGTCTCACAGGTCAACTTCAGTAAATCAGCATCAATCTCTACGAGGTTCCATCTGCAAAATCACAAATATGTAGGAAAGGCAAAAGATGATGATCATTCTGGTGGGGTAGGTTGAGTAACATGACAGCAAATGAGTAAAAAAAGACAATCAGGAGTACTGTGTAATATCGGCAATGATCTGAGAAGCAAATAACACTAGGAAAGGCAAGTTAGAAAAGCAAATATTTCTAAAAGCTTCCCAACTCAATCAGAAACTGGGACCCATTTGAATGATCCTAGAACACTCCAAACCGAATAATTACGACTAACTAGTGCACTTCCCTGAAATCTATCTGACTTGGGATACTAAACAGTGATAACATCTGACTCAAGCAAAAACTAAACCGCATACCTCCTTAATGGTGCATTCTTTTGAAGTTCTTTCAATCCTGCCCTGGCTGAGATTCTATCAGGAGCAGACTCGCCATCAAAGCTTACATTAAGCAGATCAATTTCATCTGCAAGTCACAGAATTGAAAAAGATGACAGCATTAAATGAAACTTCTACCAAAGGAAGAATTATCAAACAGCTAAAACAGGTAGAGATGTTCTCCAAGTGAAATATAACTCTATACTATTAAAGTTCAAAATTCTAACAAGGCACTGTTTGGTAGCAGGTAGGATCAGGGCAAAGTGAAAAACAGACCAACTTTCATGGATGGGAATACTTACATTCAGGATCAATGCACTGATGCAGTAATGCTGCAATAATCATAGAATCCAAACCCCCAGAAAAAAGAACTGCCACTGGAGCATATCTCTCTTGTCTATGGTCGATTGGAAAAGCCTAGGCATTTATTGAAAAATTGAAAGAATAGTCAAGCCAGCTACTTAAAAACAAAGAAAGAAGAACCAAATTGAATCTGAAGGAAAAATGGAAATTGAGTGTTTTCATTAACAAAAAGCAGCCAGTTCAAGTTAAATTTACTTCAAAAAATTCAATAACGTTCTACTTTCGACTGTGCTGTATAATACCTTAAAAGTAAATCTATGTACAAAAGCTTAATCTTTGACTTTTTAAGAAAACAAAATAAATACTTATTTGACTTCTGATACAATCATATGAATAATCCAGCAGATCCATTGAAGATCATGTTCAAACCTTGAATATTTTATATAAGGAGGTGCGTCGCATTACAGATTCTCTCAGAGCAATCAGCACTTTCTGAGACGTAGGCAAAGGCGTAATTTGTAAAGACCCTGTAGAAAAATAAAAGAGTGGAATTGCAATTAAAATAATTTTAACCTCGTATAATCAGAAGTTAGTAAAAGAGAAATCAAATTGTTGGTGGAGACAACTAAAATTTGACAATTCCATTAATGTCAAAGCCCAAAAAATAAAAATAAAAAAAGCTGCATGTTGTTTGAACTGCCTCATGGTATTGATGCTGACCTAATTCAGACGAAAGAGATGAAAGCCTGTCATTTTGGCTGATGGATACTTTTCCAAAGGAAGCACTTGAATCCTCAAGTTTGGGTTGTATAGCAGTTCTCTCCCATGTGATAAGTTCTTTTAGCTCAGAATCAGTCCACTCATGTTTCTGAACTTTGCCAATCAGATATTCATCCATGTCTGGGGAGCCTACAGAGACACTGTATACACCACATGACAGCTCTTCCCAGAAATTAAAGTCAAGCATTCCTTCATCGTCAAAATCTGGAAAAGAATGCAACGGGAGTGTTTGTAAAACAGATGAACTAAGCACAGAACATGGACAGAAAAAAAAGCACCATAAACTGGAGGAGCTTTGCCCAATAAGAATTGCTACAAGAAAATGTACAAAATAATTCAAACTTACAATGAAGCAACATTCATTCAAATATGGTCAGAAACATCATTTGTTTGACTATCAATAAATTATTTCACCAATAAATTTAAGACAAACACCAAATCCATTATTCTGGGTTTTTCCTAAGATGGAACAAGAACCACAAGGAAGTTATATGCAAAATAAAGAACATCCTCAAGACCATTTTTATATTTGGAAAGAGAATTTAGGTAAAAGTTGAAACTACGGGAGATTTCAACATTTTTCCAACTATACCAGTTGCTGGCCGGGATGAATTGATATTCAAGGTCCTATATTTTTCAAGTTGGAACCCTTCTTGTTCCTTGGGTATGGAAGGAGAGAGAGAGGGAGGACAGATTTATCTACAATATATCAACTAAGAAAAAAGGCAACACACAGTCACTTCTTAGCACTGACAAGTTAATTTACCCTACATGGTATTTATATGTCTTTCGAGAATGAGCGACAAATAAAATCTAAAAGGAAAGACTAAGTGTCCACGGAGAAGTATGTACCATAACTCTGGTGCGAGGAAGGACATGATGACACAGAAGATAGCAAAAGCCTAGAATCATCTGGTGTTGGCCAATGTACTAGAAGACTCCGCCTCCCAAACGCATCTCGTCCAAACCACAAGGTTTTTGAACTATCCTACAAGCATCAATCAACTAAGTTAGAGTAACCAAATACAATGAACATGAAGCATCCCTTATTTCAGTATCATTTGAAATCATCACAGACAGAAACTTACCACACAAAGTTACCTGCCAATAAACCAAAGCCCATGGCCCCTTGACTTGTGAAAGAAGTTCTGGAACAGAATTTATTCTTCCTCCAGAAGGGCAAGAATATCTATTATTTTCATGGGAAACACAAGAACAGCACTGTTCCATAGATTGCATAAGAACCTCCGTGTCGTTGCTGTCACTGCTGAGATGAATTCCTCCAAATATTTCACCTTAGAATCATAGCATTAAGCCCACAAAAAGGGTAAATAATTTTCAACAAATGAGAAATACCGGAAACAAATTCAGCAAGCCATCAGCCCTCCAAATATTTTTTATGCTTTATTGTGAATATTAACAAAACATTGAAGAGTTTCTTCAAACTCTTGATCCAATCAGTATTCGTGTTCGAATCAACGGTTAGTGATCTCGTGTTCATTGTTCTTTACACTTTTGTCTACATGAGTTGGTATCAGAGCACAAAATTATTCCTAAGATTCTTGATAGAGACTGGATGTTGTTTGTGACGCCTGGGTGAGATTCAATACTAAAAGGACAAGACACAAATCTACCAACAAACCAATTTGTATGAGAAACATATGGATGAGTTGAATGCTCAAGAATAGGTATTGTTAGGTGCCATTAGAAGTTGCTATGAGATCGAGACAACAGAGATGTGGGCCTAGGCGGCACGGCAACTTGTGTGGAATCAGTCATGTTGAAGGAGTCCAACGCTGATTATTATCCTTTCGTTCCTTTCAATCTCAAGCAAGATGCTGATTTAGGAGAAGATTATAACAATCCACTAATATTTTATGAGGAAACTGATGTCCAGATATACAAACAAATGGTCCAAGCACTTTGAGGCAATCTTAGTGACAGCAAATTTCAAAATCCCAGAGGATCAGGTGGGTAATCTTGTCAATGAAGAAATCAAATCAATTATCGAAAAGGACAAGTATGCCCAAAAAAATATTCAGAGGTGCCTTTTTGTCATTAGTATATTGAGGTAGTTAATATAGGGGGAGGGGAAATCAAATGGAGTTTGGGAAGGAAATGAACACAAATCGTGCAGTGATGGAAAACTTATCAAACTCAGCTGTAATTGTTAAGGTTTGTGGTGGAATTTTAGGTCTAGAAGCATGCTGGTGTTTGAAATCTTTCATTGCCTTGGAACCAGCCATTAAACAGGTTGGTGAAGCAGGCAGGGCATTGCTTTGGAAGCAGGTTGATGAGCACACTAGTGGCAACACTTCTTTATGCGACATACTAGATATTATGTTTAGTTTTTGAAGCTGGGTAATTGGCATGAGTTGAGGTGGACTAAGCATGCTCAAGGTTGTGCGGTGCCAATGGAATCTAAAAAGTGGTGGAGAAATTTTTTACGCGCCCAAATTTTTTTCTTACAACTAAACCAAAAATTTCAAATATAATGTAGAAGAATTCACTAAATGATTTACCAGACTTCAGATAAAATAGCGGTGCGAGATTCAAGGGTAAATCTTTTCCAGCCAGAGGAGAATGATGAAGTTTTTTTTTTTTTTTTTTTTTTTTTTTATAACTTGCACTTTAAGTTAGGGATAATTTTGTCTTTTGCGGGTTTAGGGGATTTTTTTCTACTTAGCTGATCCATTTAAACACTTCACAGCCTATTGTTTTTTATGGTTAATTCTGAATATTAATAAAACATTGAAGAATATCTTCTAATTCTTGATCCAACTGGCACTTAAATCAACAGCTAGTAATCTTGTGTTCATATCCACTTATGTCTGCATATGCAGTATCGTGTCAAGTTAATGTCGGGTAAAAGACACAATCATTAAAAGAAGAAAATGTGTTTTTAATTTCAATTGGCAATGGAAGCTAGATGATTGATTGGAAATATGGATTAACTCAATTTTAGAATACATGAAAATAAGAAATAAAATATAATCCTCTCAACCCTTAAAGTTCAATTTAACTAATTTATCTAAAGACCAATATGTATACAGGCAGAAACTTAACTAACATGTCCGAATACCAATATGTATACGGGCAGAAATTAAACTTCAAATGATACAGAGTGCTTTTTAAGCTAAGGAAAATATCAACTTCAACCTTATATTTGATAAAACAATCCAAAATCGCATAAATAGATCATTGAAAATTTATTGCCAATTGATTTGACAAAAAAAAAGTTCATAATCATACCATTAAAAATTAGGACATTGCAAGATGCATCAACCAACGGCTGAACAACAGGATTCACTCCTCTAAGTTGCAATGTTGCACCAATAAATTGCAATTTCCCAAAAACTTCACTCCCAAATCCATCTTCTGCTGACCCTTCATTCTCAACAGAAGAAGATAAAGTACTGCAATCTTTTCCAATTTTGGGATGAAGTAAAATATTTCTCGTTCCTAAGCTGTCGGGGCCCCTCCTTTGCAGAGTTGCTTTTATGTCATCCTCTGAAAACAAAGGCTGGCATTTTAACATATAATTAGCTACAGAAAAAATAAAAATCAAAAATCAAATTCCAAATTTTGCAATAAAATTGAATATTGTTAGAAAAATTACGCAGTTCTGCGAAAATTGAGGGCACGTAGATGTTAAATTTGGGATCAAAAGTGATAAGTCGATCTTAATTCCACAGACAATCAGTGCTATTCCACACATCTCTATGCTCGTGTATTTTCTCTGTAAACCCTAGTTTCTCGCAATAAGCTTACAAGGAGGAGTGGGTGTCAAGGGTTTTTAGATGGTTTACTTTAAATAATAAAAAAGCATACGCCACCACCAAGCCTCCGTAGCATAGTGGTAGTGCGTTCGCTTCGTAAGCGAAAGGTCGCGAGTTCGATCCTCGCCGGGGGCTTTATTATATCTTTTGAAAAATTGCATCTTAGTCTCTAACCTATTCACTTAATTTTAAAGGATGATGCTATGTATAAAAGAGTGTCAAGGGGGATGAACACCGTTATGGATATCGAATTATATACAAGTAACATACTCCAATTATAAATAGGTTCCCATTCTTTTCGGGAATATTTCCTCTCCAACGTCAATTTTTGCTTAGCACAATCCATTCTCGAACTTTCAAAAGAGTAAGAAAATTCATCATTCCATCCGGTTTGACGGTTAAAGCCACCTAAAATAACGAATTTGTCAAAATAAGCAAAAACAAAGCAACTAACAACTAACCTTTGTTTGAGCCTTATTCTTTTGGAAAAATACATTTTTTCAACAGTGTTTTGATATCATTTTAAGCATACATTCTTCAATAAAATAATATTACACGTAAATCTAAAAATTTTCTTTATTTTTTAACTACACATTTCTCATCAATACACTATTCAAAAACTCATTCTTTCCAAAAAGAAATGGGGCTCAAACAAGGGCTAAAAAAAAATAAAGTAAAAAAATGTAGCAAGAGTCCCAATTTTTTTCAAAAATAACAAATAGATCGTCAGCTTCCTCAAGAACTCCACCCTAATTCATACTATTCATGTAATCTGTTCACTTCTATTATAATCCCTATTTGAAAACCATCAAAATGAATTTTTTGGGGAAAATAAGTTTTGGAATAGTGATTTTTTGAAAAATGTGTGATTAAAATGTAGGAAAAATTCTATATTGACATGTAAAATATTTTATTGTAAGGGTATGATTCAAAATGATAAGTTATTTCCATTCGAGCGAGGTAATTATTTCAGTTCTGCCTTTTTGACACTATTAGTTGTCCAAATACCCTTCCTATCAACGTAACCATCCTCCGATAAGTAATTAAATTTGTGGGTCACATACGAACTACTTTTCCAAAAATTTAACCTCTTAAAATAATTGTTTCTCAAAAAAAGTACAGTGATTTGAGCCGCTCAAACATAGAGTCGTGATTTCCAACTATTATTGCCTCATGTAATGGCAATATGAAAGTCACCAGACAGTCAAACATAAAGTCGAAAATATCCAACTCTTCTTGCCTACTGTGATGGCACACCGTTCGAA